GTGCCCGGAAAAGGAGGCGGGGCGCCACGGCTCCATGACCTCATTGGATGAGGTGCCTTCGCCTTACAGCTCGGGGCGGGGCTTTTCCCCGGCTAAAAAAGCGGAGCGGAGCAGCGCTCAGCTGCGCAGTTCGCAGGTGCGGCTCCGAGGAGGCCTTTCCGTCATTCCCTGAAGTCCGCTGGGTCATGGTGCCAGCCTGAGAAGAGGACGCTCCCGGGAGACGAATGAGGAACCACCTCCTCCTGCTGTTCAAGTACAGGGGCCTGGTCCGCAAAGGGAAGAAAAGCAAAAGACGAAAATGGCTAAATTCGTGATCCGCCCGGCTACCGCCGCTGACTGCAGCGATATCCTGCGGCTGATCAAGGTAACGGAAGACCCGGGCTCCCCTCGGGGCGGGGGCGGGGGTCGGCTCATTTTCCAAGGGAGTCCGCGTCTTGGCATCTGGGCTGGTGGAAGAGTCCAGTCGGTTCCCCTTTCCCTGCTCCGGTCTGATCCTGGTCGGCGGGGCCTCATTTTGTTTTCTCTTTCTCTTGTGTGCATCGCTCTAGGAACTGGCTAAATACGAATACATGGAAGAGCAAGTCATATTAACTGAAAAAGGTAACTACACCGGCGGGGAGGGGGGACAAGCGTTAGGGGCCTGTCACCTTCAACGAGGCCAACACTGCCCCTGCCTCACCTTCTTGCAGATCTGTTAGAGGATGGTTTCGGAGAGCACCCCTTCTACCACTGCCTGGTTGCAGAAGTGCCCAAAGAGCACTGGACTCCGGAAGGTAACCCCTCTCCCCTTCCAAAAGCCAGAGAAACTGAGTGTCCTGTAAGATGTAGTGTCTGCTGTGTAGACCCACTGACTACACAGGCTGAAGTTACTTACTGAGAAGTTGGCCAGAAATACTAGCCAGCCAGTGTACAAGCTACTGAGGAAAAAAGGAAATAGATGTGCTTCACATAGTAATAGGGCGGGTTAAAAGAGCTGTTTAAGTAAGTATCAGAGTGCTGTGGAGACCAGAAGAGTTTGAGCTGTTTAAGTAAGTATCAGAATGCTGTGGAGACCTGGAAGAGTTAGGTATAATGTCATTTGTTGTAATTCAGTTTCGTAAAATGGTTCTTGTTTGACCCTAACATAACCGTTTTTGTAATTGTGTTAAATCACATTTTTTTCTTTAATTTGTCCCAATCTTCAGGTTACAGTCTCTAGCTTCGCCATGTACATGGCCCTTCCGTGTACATGGATGGGCGGGGAGGTAACTAAAAGATCCTTTACACAATAAACTAGATGATCATGATAAATGAGGTAAGGTCCTATTATCACACACTTAAAACACGGTAGATCAGAAACTCCATAATACTCGCTTCCTGTTTGCAAAGGAATATATAATGGCTAGGTTTAATTGGAAACCTTTACCCCCACTCGGACTTGCAGACACCCGTCAAGAGGGAGTCAGATGCCTTTTTTTTGTTGTTCATTTCCTGGTCCCTGTTGACTGGTCAGAAGACAGAGCTAAAAGGGGAAGTTGGGTGGGTGCTTTCTTAAGTTTTCTGACGTCTGCCTGTTCTCCGAGCTAGAAGATATCCCTTATGTTTTCTGCTAATGAGGTACTTTTTGGAGGTATGTGACTGTTACGCAATACCCGTTTCTGGGTATTGCTACTTCTGGCTTAAAAACTGGGGAGGGCAAACTGAAAACATGTAAAGTTAAGTGCTGTACTTTGGGCCTGATCTGACCTTCAGGAAGCAAGTTTGTAAACCACAAATATTTACTATTCTGAACTGCCGTGTAAACCTGACTTATTCCTGAGTCAACATACCAGTATATCAATAGGATGTGAATAATGTGTGTGTTTTGTTGAAGACGGTAGCGGTTTTGGTTTGGCAAGTTAATGAAAGCATTCTTGCTTTCTGAGTGTGAAGAGTGTGAGATCCAGCAGACTGCAGGGTGGCCAGTCCACAGTTGTAGCCCTGCTTCATTTAGCTCTAATGTGTGCTTTTTGCAAATACGTGTTCCAAGAACAGTGAAATCGTCTCAACAGTGGCCTGGACTGCACTAGCATAAAAGTCAGGAGACAGTCCAGTTCTGTGGCTACTTACTTCTGTAATACATGCATGTATATTTTTAAAAACCTATGATAGGTTTCTCATTTTGCAGCCACAACTTTTATGGATTGTTTTTCTTCTCCACATCTCATGTGACATTCTTATTACAGGACACAGCATTGTTGGTTTCGCCATGTACTATTTTACCTACGACCCATGGATTGGCAAGTTATTGTATCTTGAGGACTTCTTCGTGATGAGTGATTATAGAGGTATGGTTGAATTTACGGGTAAGGCCTAAAGATAAATCTGGACTGAGTCCTTGCCATGACTTTTTAAATTGTGCTTCTCTTTCTTTCAGGCTTTGGCATAGGATCAGAAATTCTGAAGAATCTAAGCCAGGTTTGTTTTAATTATTTGTTTCTGAATTGGGGTTACCTGGTTAGTTTAATGACTGAATCAAAACTGGGTCTTGAGAAGCAGGTGAAATGTGACTCAAGTTTATGTTTTACTCTCCTGTATAACAGGTTGCAATGAAGTGTCGCTGCAGCAGCATGCACTTCTTGGTAGCAGAATGGAATGAACCATCTATCAAGTTCTACAAAAGAAGAGGTGCTTCTGATCTGTCCAGTGAAGAAGGATGGAGACTCTTCAAGATCGACAAGGAATACTTGCTAAAAATGGCAACAGAGGAGTGAGGAGTGCTAGTGTAGATGACGACAACCTCCATTCTATTTTAGAATAAATTCTCAACTTATCTTGCTTTCTAGCTTGTTTGTAGTGAAATAATAGAATGAGCACCCATTCCAAAGCTTTATTACCAGTGGCGTTGTTGCATGTTTGAAATGTGGTCAGTTGGAAATGGCAGTCTTGTATGTGGTTTGGAGTTGGATTTCTCTTTGAACATCTTTTGATAAACAGCAAGGTGGTGTGATCTTAATATATGTGAAAAAAAACTTCATTCTTGTGAGTCATTTAAATGTGTACAATGTACACACTGGTACTTAGAGTTTCTGTTTTGATTCTTTTTTAATAAACTACTCTTTGATTTAAGTGTAAGCATTTTTGCTCATCCTTTATTTCTAATGCATTTTTCTTGTGGTTAAGTGCAAAATATAAATGGGGTTGTCCATATAGCTTACTGGTAAAGGGAGCCGAATCCCACATGGCCAACTGCAGTTCAAATCCCAGCCCAGGCAGCTTGCAAAATATGTCCGTTATGTGCATGTGCATGCCCAAAATCCTGAGAATAGAAAAATGGAGGAGAAAAACTTGCAACATGACCATAGTCCTGCTGTCTTTCTCTGGCAAGAGCATGTGCTCCCTGACAATTTTTTAAAAAGAAAGGCAGGCCAACAAACATCACCAGATAACTGCAATTGCTTACAAACAAGTTTTTAATCCTATTTAAAGTTTTTATGGTCATGTGCTATGCTCGTATTACCAAAGTCTGGAAGGAAGTCAGTTGTACTTCAAGGCTTTATATGTAGCAACTTACAAAACATGATTTTATATTAATAACACTAACTTTATCAACAGAATTTTCACTATCTGAAAAACTAGGTTAGAAACAGGCCCACAGTGAATAAACCCATTGTCATACAAAATGTGGAGGTCGGATTATAAAACATTGAGAATCAGGAAGAAACACCTTGTCTCCAACAACCTCATCTACAGGATACTTTCTAAAGGTAAAGTGGGTCACTTTACCAATCAGGAACAAAGACTACATTTTTACAGGCAATCTGAACAGGTTTGAGTTGGACACAGGTACAACAGCATCAGATAAATTAGCATCCTATTTGGAGGGTGAGTTTGTGGTACTCTGTTAACACAATAGACTTCCACTGCAGAGAAACAATAGGCATCCTTAAAATTACCAGGTGGGAAGAAGTAGACAAGTGTTTTCTCAAGGACTGAAAATGAACCGAGAGGCAAGAGAAAGACTTTTCCCCTTAGATAAGTGAACCTCTTTGACTACGTATTATATTGGCCTAAATTCCCAAACCCACTAATTTCCACACAAATGAAAATAGCAGTTGATAAGAACCACTGCAGACTAAAGTCCACAATTAATGTTTTCCAAATTAAGTCCTCAGATACTGGAAAAGCAATACTCATCTCTGTGTTCTCCAGGAGCTGAACACTGGGATTCCCAATAGGGATTTTGCCCTCCATTCCTTATCAGTGTCCTAGATTAGAAGGTGGCCATACATAAAAGTTGATCCTTTATTTGTTCAATACAGGAGAAGTTTAGGACTTACTGGTGATTAAGAGAGTATTCCTTGAAAACTGAGGTACAGTCAATCCACAACTAGGGTTCTGCTAGAATGGCAAGTAACTAAGAAACACTAGCAAAAATAAAAGAGTAATTAATACAAGGAGCCTTGTAGGGAAGCAAGATATTTTGAAAATTGTGTTTTGGAAAGTGGGCCTTTTAGAGGAAAACAACTACATGCTGACTGGTTAAATATATGAATAAATTAACCAAGAGAGTTAACAATATAACTCTCTGTTTTCTCATCCTTCTTAAAGATTAGCCATAAAGGCCCAGTGTTGTCCAGACAAAAGCTTTTATGAAGTTTTTGTACCCACTTTAGAGAAATCCTGTGAGTGTAAAACTGAGAAGCTAAAAACTTCACAGTATCAGCCCACTGAATGTTCAACTATGTTACAAAGGCACCTATTTTAAAAATTGAACTATTAAGTAAATCTGTAAAGCTCGAAATCACCAGGCAAGTAAGAAAACATGTTATGGGAAAGTTATCTGAAAAGAGATAACAGTGATAAACCTGGAAAAAAGAGGGGGAAAGGTCCAAGTAAGCAACAGCCCTATAAAGA